GGGGGGGGGGGCGTACCTTGCTCAATTTTTAGTGTTCTGCGGCCCCATATAAAGCCACTGCCACATCGCCCTTACCCATAAGAACAGAGTTTCCCCTCACTTTATCATTACATTTATACAGTCCACCGTTCTCATCCAACTTTGGCACTTTCAGCTGCGGTACCGCCCATGCCATCTCGAATCGTTCTATCGAATGGCCAGCTAATCATACTTGGCCGTCACCAGCAATCGCTAATGCTCCGTGGTGTTCCTTACCTCTTGGCAGAGCACGAACTCGCTTGGAGGGTGTGCTCATTGTCTTTATACTGCTACCAGCCCTACCTTTCTTGATTTTGTTTATTGCCTTCATAGCTGGGTTGAATGGATACGATGGAATGATCCTGGTAAGTCAAGTTCTGCTGTTTTCACAAGAATATTTTGGAAGGATATCACGTACAGGTACGAAGAAATCACGATGATGTCAAAGACCCTGCCAAAGGCTGGGAAGAAGGAGAAAATTTCCATCTACTTCCTGTTGAGCAGAAGCAAAACGTTGAAAAATCGCCTTCTCACTTGGAGAGCGGTGAACCTTGCGATGTTAATGCAGGTGTTCCTCCTGTTCATGAGTNAGTTTTCTCTTTCCAGTTCTTGAGAGCCCTTTTCAAGTGGTAACGCGCCGCAGTCGCACGCAGCACAGGGAGAAGGCGGTGGCACTGGCGTTATCAGAAACTCTCGAGCATTGTATTATCTAGTATTTTCAATAAAAATAATTACAGAACCGTTAACGAGTTCTCAGCGAATGTTTTGGACGAAACGGCGGCAGTAGACGAGGTGAGCTAGTTCAGTAGCGTTTTTTAGTTATTACTGTGAACCAACGTACTGTTTTCGAAGAATTCATCGAATTCGAACACCACTGAAGAACAAATTACTTGTATCGAAGTTGAGCAGAAAGAGGAAAATCAAAAAGTCTGGGATATCGTTAGCCAATTGCGCGGTGAACTGGCTTTTCAACAGTGTGAGTGGTCTTTTTGTGTAAGCTCGTGCTTTTTTTCCGTTCAGCCCTATTTCGTCTGTTCATTGTTGTCGTACTGGGGCCGGGTGTCATACCGAATCGGGCAGACTCACTTCTAAGGATGTACCGCAAGAAGTAATAGAGCTGACGAGCTGGGGCGCTCTCCTCATTGGTGCGCTCGCGAGCTACACGTGTGCTACTAGACCAATCGGCCAATGAGGAATACTGTGTGACACGGCATGTCCTGTCCACTCCATTAGGGCATGATCAATTTGGTAAAACATATGTATAAAGGATTGGGTGATCTGAACGCCTCATTGTTTAGCTATGCTGGTAAACGACAGTGCTGCTTGGAACATTAGCCTTCACTTCCTGCGGAAGACTGAACAGATCTTGTTGCATGTGATAGCTCAAGGGAGTCCGACTAGTGCGGCTGCTGCCCAAGGTCGGTTTATTCGAAATATCGCACACAGGTTAATCTCTTTAAAAAAATTCTTGAATGTTTAGATCTTCGATTGTTGGCAGAGGAGATGTCACGTGTTCTGCCTACTGTATCTGACCACGCCGTCCAGCTATCCAGATGGATGCAATCGGTACAAGAAGCGTCTGTGAAGCTGGAACACATTCAAGAACCTTCACCCGGATATACCGTCTCCCACTGTTACTTGGGAGCGCAGGATATTTATCGCCAACAGAATTTACTTGCACTGCACAATTATCTTATGACATGCCAAACAAATAGTTCTCAACAAGCCACATATTCGGCTGGTCAAGAGAGCACAGCAACTGTGGCTCAACAGGAGGCTAATCCCAATCCTGGTCCTGCAGTTGTGGAGGAAGCTCGTCCGAGTCAAGTTGAGCAGGAGGAACAGTGTAGACCTGTTGAACAGGCCGTGTTGGCGGCAGTGCCACAGTGTGATGCTCAGCCTGGAACCAGTGGAGGGCATCAGCCAAATGTAGAGAACAGGCCGGTTCCTGTTTCACCTGAGCGTCCTGCTCAATCACTACCTAACGGTGTCGTACGTGAAAATGAACAGCCCTCAGGTTCGTTCCTGAGATAATGATTGTAAAAAGGAATGTTATGAATGACTTGTACCTTTTAGGATCCCAGGGGTCACAGCCCGGGGCTCAGCCGGCTCAGCGAGTTCCAAGGATCAGCGCCTATGCTATATCGTATTCTGGTGAGTATAGGATGTTACTACTTCCATACTTGTTGTTGCGAATTGAGCTAACTATGTTTAGCAACCCCAAGTGGTTTTGTTTCCCGGTTGACGGTTCCAGAACTGCGTATTCGAATAGAACAGATCAGAAATATCTGCGCCGGTGACGTTTTATATCCTCAAGAAGTGAGTAAATAATGTGATTTGTTGTGTCACATACAGAAGCACGGTTTTGGTGTTAGTGGGCGCGCGACGCGTGCGGTCGCGAGGCGTTGGTACGTGTTCATTGGGTGCGACAGGTGCATGGACGTCCTAATAACTACTACCACTCCTGTTTTGAGTCTTAACAACAAATACCTTTCTCGCACTGAAGTATCATCGCTTCAGCTCACCTATATGCTCCTTGCATCTGGAGATGTTTTATATGGCGGCAATCAACCCCGGGATGGTTTTTACTATTACACGGTGTGTTTACTTATCGACTGTTTCCTTCTTGTCAGTTGTTTGTTACTTTCTGATCATTTGTACGCATTACTTTTTTATTCTGTTAAACCATCTCTTGATTTTCTGGTCCTTCTGAGCAAATATAAGTTGCAGGTGGAGCAGATGCCGGAACTGTTCGGTGCGAGAGTTCCTACGATAGATGCCAGGATAGGAGTGCAGGCGTTTCTTGCCCATATGCGCCGGAGAGCTCTGACCGTTGTTGGAGCTGTTGGCTACCACTTCTCATTGAGACCACGCAGAGGAACTGAGTAGGCTTTTCATTGAAATTCTTCCTCGAGTGTCAGCATTTACGTTTAAACGGGTTGTATGTCTGCGACGCGCGCGGTTGCACCATTGCGCAATCGCCGGATCAATATCTGTCTTGACCACGATTTTATGTGCTGTTTTCGTTCAGTTACACTCCTCCCGTTTTACCACCACTTGGGCTGTATCGATCCGAGAATGAGTTAATACTTCGAAGAGTATTGGGCGACAGGGATGACATTCTACCGTCTTTACGTGATTTCCTTCGCGAATACAATTTTGGCAGGTATGACTTTTCTTTTTAGTTGTGAAAATTCCTTAATAAGATTATTACTCGAGTTCGCATTTTTTTAGAGGCCCTATTGGTCCACGTCCCACACTGAAGTATGCTTCAGCGTTCAGAAAATATCTGGTCATGGTAGCGGTACGGGAAGGATTCAATGGTGAAGACCTTGTAAGTTTGTTGGTATTTTTTGCGTATTTACTATCAAGTATTTAAATTATGTGTTTCAGGATGACTATGTACCGGATCCCGTGCCGCCAGCAGAACCAACAAATGGTGAACATGAGAATGCACATGAGAGCAGCGCTGAAGAGTCAGATCCTCCCGCTCCATCCTAGGGGAAACTTGTAGGCGTTTGGTTCTCGATACAAGAAAAAGGAGAATAAGCAATACATTTGGTGTTAATCCTGCTAACGTTGTCTCCGAGTTGGTAGTTTCAGACGAGATATCGTACGATGGCGCTTTTGGACGATCCGGATTTTTCATTCAATTCGTCGATTGCCTTCTGCACCATTTTCGTATAGAGCGGGTGCGCCCGAGGCTGTCGTCGTGAAACCTTTGGACGAGTTGCTATGACAGTGATAGCAACTCGTCCGAAGGTTTCACGACGACAGCCT